CCATTTATTAAGGGAGGAAATGAAGGGATTTTACCCATTTATTAAAAGGAAATTAAGGGATTTTAGCCATATATTAAGGGAGGAAATGAAGGGATTTTACCCATTTATTAACAGGAAATGAAGGGATTTTACCCATTTATTGAAGGAGGAAATGAAGGGAAATGAAAGGATTTTACCTATTTACTGAAGAAGGAAATGAATGGATTTTATCCATTTATTAAGAGGGAAATGAAGGGATTTTACCCATTTTTTAAGGGAGGAAATGAAGGGATTTTACCCATTTAGTGGGGAAGGAAACAAGAGCTCTTACCTATTTATTGAGGAAGGAAATGAAGGGATTTCACCCATTTATTAAAAGAGGAAATGAATGGATTTTATCCATTTATTAAGTGGAAACGAAGGGATTTTTTCCCATTTACTGAAGAAGGGAATGAAGGGATTTTACCCATTCACTGAAGAGGTAAATTAAAGGATTTTACCCATTTCTTGAGAAAGGAAATGAAGGGATTTCACCCATTTCTTGAGAGGGAATGAAGGGATTTTACCCATTTTTTTAAGAGGAAATTAATGGATTTTACCCCTTTACTGAGGAAGGAAACAAGAGCTCTTACCCATTTACTGAAGAAGGGAACAAAGGGATTTTTCCCATTTACTGAAGGAGGGAATGAAGGGATTTTACCAATTTCTTGAGAGGGAATGAAGGGATTTTACCCATTCACTGAAGAGGTAAATGAAAGGATTTTACCCATTTCTTGAGGAAGTAAATGAATAGATTTTACCCATTTCTTGAGAGGGAATGAAGGGATTTTACCCATTTCTTGAGGAAGGAAATGAAGGGATTTTACCCATTTCTTGAGAAGGAAACAAGATCTCTTACCCATTTATTGAAGAAGGACACAAAGCCGTAGCCCTTGGACTTGCCCGTGGCCATGTCCTTGACCACCCTTGCATCCCTAAAAGCACAAAGGGACCCAGCTCAGCCCCAGCTGGGCTCAGCCCCAGCTCCCTCCACCCAAATCCACCCAAATCCACCCAAATCCACTCAAATCCACTCCTTATCCATCACTACAGGAGCTGGAACCATGTAAGCTTTAAA